GTATGGGGAGGGAAGTGTGGGGGGTATGTGGTATGGGGGTATAGGGTATGGGGTATGGGGTATGGGGGGTATAGGGTATGGGGAGGGAAGTGTGGGGGTATGTGGTATGGGGGTATAGGGTATGGGGTATGGGGTATGGGGGGTATAGGGTATGGGGAGGGAAGTGTGGGGGGTATGTGGTATGGGGGTATAGGGTATGGGGTATGGGGTATGGGGGGTATAGGGTATGGGGAGGGAAGTGTGGGGGGTATGTGGTATGGGGGTATAGGGTATGGGGTATGGGGTATGGGGGGTATAGGGTATGGGGAGGGAAGTGTGGGGGGTATGTGGTATGGGGGTATAGGGTATGGGGTATGGGGTATGGGGGGTATAGGGTATGGGGAGGGAAGTGTGGGGGGTATGTGGTATGGGGGTATAGGGTATGGGGTATGGGGTATGGGGGGTATAGGGTATGGGGAGGGAAGTGTGGGGGGTATGTGGTATGGGGGTATAGGGTATGGGGAGGGAAGTGTGGGGGGTATGTGGTATGGGGGTATAGGGTATGGGGTATGGGGTATGGGGGGTATAGGGTATGGGGAGGGAAGTGTGGGGGGTATGTGGTATGGGGGTATAGGGTATGGGGTATGGGGTATGGGGGGTATAGGGTATGGGGAGGGAAGTGTGGGGGTATGTGGTATGGGGGTATAGGGTATGGGGTATGGGGTATGGGGGTATAGGGTATGGGGAGGGAAGTGTGGGGGGTATGTGGTATGGGGGTATAGGGTATGGGGTATGGGGTATGGGGGGTATAGGGTATGGGGAGGGAAGTGTGGGGGGGGGGATACCAAGGGACATAATTATAACATGGATACATCAGTCCTTCAATTCCTCACACTTATGAGGCAGCATGTGGGGTGGTGTAGTGTTGTAGGTGATGTATTGACAGTTCCCAGGTGATGTATTGACAGTTCCCAGGTGATGTATTGACAGTTCCCAGGTGATGTATTGACAGTTCCCAGGTGATGTATTGACAGTTCCCAGGTGATGTATTGACAGTTCCCAGGTGATGTATTGACAGTTCCCAGGTGATGTATTGACAGTTTCTAGGTGATGTATTGACAGTTCCCAGGTGATGTATTGACAGTTCCCAGGTGATGTATTGACAGTTCCCAGGTGATGTATTGACAGTTCCCAGGTGATGTATTGACAGTTCCCAGGTGATGTATTGACAGTTCCCAGGTGATGTATTGACAGTTCCCAGGTGATGTATTGACAGTTTCTAGGTGATGTATTGACAGTTCCCAGGTGATGTATTGACAGTTCCCAGGTGATGTATTGACAGTTCCCAGGTGATGTATTGACAGTTCCCAGGTGATGTATTGACAGTTTCTAGGTGATGTATTGACAGTTCCCAGGTGATGTATTGACAGTTCCCAGGTGATGTATTGACAGTTCCCAGGTGATGTATTGACAGTTCCCAGGTGATGTATTGACAGTTTCTAGGTGATGTATTGACAGTTCCCAGGTGATGTATTGACAGTTCCCAGGTGATGTATTGACAGTTCCCAGGTGATGTATTGACAGTTCCCAGGTGATGTATTGACAGTTTCTAGGTGATGTATTGACAGTTTCTAGGTGATGTATTGACAGTTTCTAGGTGATGTATTGACAGTTTCTAGGTGATGTATTGACAGTTTCTAGGTGATGTATTGACTGTTTCTAGGTGATGTATTGACAGTTTCTAGGTGATGTATTGACTGTTTCTAGGTGATGTATTGACAGTTTCTAGGTGATGTATTGACAGTTTCTAGGTGATGTATTGACAGTCTTCAGGTGATGTATTGACAGACTTCAGGTGATGTACTGACAGTTCACAGGTGATGTATTGACAGTCTTCAGGTGATGTATTGACAGTTCCCAGGTGATGTATTGACAGTCTTCAGGTGATGTATTGACAGTTCCTAGGTGATGTATTGAGAGCACATCAGGGATGCTGCTCAGCGGACTGGTCCTAACATCTCAGATGAGCCCAGCATCTCCTCTTTAGTCATTATTAACATCTTTATTGAAAAAAATAATATACAATTTTGCCTAATGTTAGTAATTCACTGAGGTCTTACTGGAGTGAGGTGCTGCTCATGTTCACTGCCACACAGACCAGTCGACCATACATGAGACAATGGGACTAAATTTGAGATTTAAACACCGATTTCTTTAGACTGTAATCCACTACATTAGCTATTATACACGTTTCAGTCTACGAAATTTTGTATAGTCAACTTTCTATTGTTCACTGCCACACCGCTTATGTCCTTCTGTCGAGGGCCACACTCCGTGTTCTCCAAGAAATATCGGAAATGCGAAAGATTTAAACAAATATATTAATACTATATCACTAGATGTCCAAAATAGCTGCGATCTTTCCTCCTAGATAACCAAGGGTACCATGAAGACACTGGTGATTGTTGGTGACGATGGTTCCCTGTGACACAAGGTGGAGGATCAGGGGGCCAGATTCACGAAGCAGTTAAGCAAGTATTTACGAACCTGTACATCTTTTCTCAAACTTTGGCGACTTTGTTTACAATTATTAAACAGTTAATGAGCCCCGAAGCACCAGGAGGCTGTTTATAACAACACCAACAGCTGATTGGCAAGTTTTCATGCTTGTAAACTGTTTAATAAATGTAACCAAAGCCGTCAAAGATTGAGGAAAGTTGTACACGTTCGTAAGTACTTGCGTAACTGCTTCGTGAATCTGGCCCCTGGTGTCCATCTTAAGTCACCATCTTAAGAGAAGTTTCTCTAATTGCCTCTCTCTCGAGAGTCATGTAAGTCTCCAGATGGGTGACTCTCCACCACCCTGCTTGTGTCCATGAAATATAAACTTGACTTTAATGCCCTCCTCAAGTGTCATCAGAAATCAAACAGACATTTACTTAATGTCAACTCAGCCTTAAACTTTAAACTTTGGAACCCAGTCTTAAACCAATCTTGCACAAGCGGTTTGGTTCTTTGCCCCTGTACCCTCGCCTGGTCCTGTGACTTGCTGCGACAGTTCCTTTTCTCAGCCACTAGGCAATTAGGGAGACTCCAAAGGATACCTGATCAACCAGATTGTGACTCATACGTCAGGCTGCGAGCAGCCGCGTCTAACAGCCTGGTTGATCAGTCCAGCAACCAGGAGGCCTGGTTGACGACCGGGCCGCGGGGACGCTAAGCCCCGGAAGCACCTCAAGGTGACTCCAGAGTCACTGAGGCGGTACTCGAGGTGTAGGTCCTCGTAATCTAAGGGTGAAGGTTTTCATGTAACTAAGACAGTTATCTAATGCAACTCTAATGTCATCACCAAACTGTCACTGCTTCTTTCCAGATTGCAAACACACTTTGTAACATCAACATAACTCAGACCATTTCACTTTTCTGTTGCAAATAAAGATCAATTTAAGAACTTATTAACGTATATACGTATCTTCCCGTAAGTGAACACCCACTTGAGAATCATGTCTCATTTTAATAAGAATTTGAAAAATTGACGTAAAAATAATAAAGTGATTAAACAACGTAAGATGAGAACACCATCATTACCATTCAAGTATGGCCATATTAAAGCTCAAAGTTGTCTTTGAGACTTACAAATTGTTGAAAATGGTTTGTGCAGATTCACAATCTCCTTTTATTGAAACAGTATCTACGACTCACATGGAAAAAAGATCAAATTATTGAGATAACCAATTTGAATGTCGTAAAGTTTTAGTCTTGTGAGTTTCAACGTGAGGGCTTTCTTTAATAGACAGTTAATAGATGAGAATACATGGTAATTGAAGTAACTAAGTGTAACTTGGTGTAGCGTGTATTCTCTATTAAGGAATTTGGTATACTCTGTGTTAATGATAATAACTTTGTTTTAATGGAAAATTCTGTGCCCAAAGGTTATGAATGGCAAGTGTGTTCATGTGGACCCTTGTTGCGTACTGTGTCCATGTGTACTCTGGTGGTGTACTGTGACCATGTGTACTCTGGTGGTGTACTGTGACCATGTGTACTCTGGTGGTGTACTGTGTCCATGTGTACTCTGGTGGTGTACTGTGACCATGTGTACTCTGGTGGTGTACTGTGACCATGTGTACTCTGGTGGTGTACTGTGACCATGTGTACTCTGGTGGTGTACTGTGTCCATGTGTACTCTGGTGGTGTACTGTGTCCATGTGTACTCTGGTGCTAGACTGTGTCCATGTGTCCTCTGGTGTTATACTGTGTGTACTCAGGTTTTGCGTGATGCCTGCGGTCCGGTCCGGACGGAGGAGACCAGGAAGAGAGGAGGCTTAGCAACACTGCCGGCGTGCGTGTGTGTGTGTGTGTGTGGGAGAGTGTCCATGTTTGCCGTGACGGCGTAAATGTTTGTACTGCGAGAGAGCGCCTCGAGTTGGGTGTCGCGTATGTCAACACCCAGCGAGTTAGCGTGAGGCCAGAGGGGGTAGGGGGGGAGAGGTGAGGGAGGGGGGGGGGGGGAAGGGGGAGAGGTGAGGGAGGAGGGAGGGGGAGGGATGGAGGGATCGCTATGTGTCTTGTTAATACACTATCCTCCCCCCTCCTTTCCCTTACCCTAGTTACCCCTTCACCCCTTCCCCTTGTAATCCTCTCACCCCCTATCCTTACCTCTTGTTATCCCCCTCACCTCTCCTCTACCCTTGTTTCCCCTCCTCATGTTCCCCCTCCCCCCTTATCCACGCCCCCATACCATCCCCCTCCCCCACCGTGAGAGAGAGAGAGAGAGAGAGAGAGAGAGAGAGAGAGAGAGAGAGAGAGAGAGAGAGAGAGAGAGAGAGAGAGAGAGAGAGAGAGAGAGAGAGAGAGAGAGAGAGAGAGAGAGGGAAGTGCAAACAGCCTTCAGTATGTGAAGATGAAAAGAAATAAAAGAAGGTAAGGGGGAAATGCAGGAGTGAGTGTGGGGGAAGAGGAGCAGAAGCAGCAGAAGTGACGAGGGGCAGAATAAAGAGTGAGAGAGAAGGAGGGGGAGAATGGGAATTGAGCAGATTGAAGGTAAATAGGAACAGGATTTTAAAAAATGGGATAGGAGAAGGGTGGGAAGGGTAGTGAGTAGGGACACTCTTGATACTGAAAATGAAACAACATATTCTCCTCTTTTCTGGTACTTCGTCGCTCTTAAATTTATTCCGGCCCTCGTGTGTGTATTCATCTAGTTGGTTTCACCTAGTTGTGCTTGCGGGGGTTGAGCTCTGCTCTTTCGGCCCCGCCTCTCAACTGTCCATCAATCAACTGTTACTATTTTTTCCCCATACACACACACCCAGGAAGCCCGTAACAGCTGTCTAACTCCCAGGTACCTATTTACTGCTAGGTAGCAGGGGCATCAGGGTGAAAGAAACTCTACCCATCTGTTTCCGCCGGCGCCGGGATTAAACCCGGACCCCTAGGATTACGAGTTCTAAGCGCTGTCCACCAGGCTACCAGGCCCCCCCATGTGTGTGTGTGTGCGTGTGCGTGAGTGTGTGTAAAGTATATAATATATAATAACCTAACTTTTATAGGTAATTCCTCACCAAATTCCATTAGCCAGAACTGGCGCGAGGGGGGTAGAGGGTAGTGAGGAAGAGGGGGTGAGTGTGGGAGGTGATCAATGGTTAGTTGAGAGCCCCGTGGAGGCCCATGTTGGAGGCTCATGTTGGAGGCTCATGTTGGAGGCTCATGTTGGAGGCTCATGTTGGAGGCTCATGTTGGAGGCTCATGTTGGAGGTTTATGTTGGAGGCTCATGTTGGAGGCTCATGTTGGAGGCCCATGTTGGAGGACCATGTTGGAGGCTCATGTTGGAGGCTCATGTTGGAGGCCCATGTTGGAGGACCATGTTGGAGGCTCATGTTGGAGGCTCATGTTGGAGGCTCATGTTGGAGGCTCATGTTGGAAGCTCATGTTGGAGGCTCATGTTGGAGGCTCATGTTGGAGGCTCATGTTGGAGGCCCATGTTGGAGGCCCATGTTGGAGGCTCATGTTGGAGGCTCATGTTGGAGGCTCATGTTGGAGGCTCATGTTGGAGGCTCATGTTGGAGGCCCATGTTGGAGGCCCATGTTGGAGGCTCATGTTGGAGGCTCATGTTGGAGGCTCATGTTGGAGGCTCATGTTGGAGGCCCATGTTGGAGGCCCATGTTGGAGGCCCATGTTGGAGGCTCAGGTTGGAGGCTCATGTTGGAGGCTCATGTTGGAGGCTCATGTTGGAGGCTCATGTTGGAGGCTCATGTTGGAGGCTCATGTTGGAGGCTCATGTTGGAGGCTCATGTTGGAGGCTCATGTTGGAGGCCCATGTTGGAGGCCCATGTTGGAGGCTCATGTTGGAGGCTCATGTTGGAGGCTCATGTTGGAGGCTCATGTTGGAGGCCCATGTTGGAGGCCCATGTTGGAGGCTCATGTTGGAGGCTCATGTTGGAGGCTCATGTTGGAGGCTCATGTTGGAGGCCCATGTTGGAGGCCCATGTTGGAGGCCCATGTTGGAGGCTCAGGTTGGAGGCTCATGTTGGAGGCTCATGTTGGAGGCTCATGTTGGAGGCTCATGTTGGAGGCTCATGTTGGAGGCCCATGTTGGAGGCTCATGTTGGAGGCTCATGTTGGAGGCCCATGTTGGAGGCCCATGTTGGAGGCCCATGTTGGAGGCTCAGGTTGGAGGCTCATGTTGGAGGCTCATGTTGGAGGCTCATGTTGGAGGCTCATGTTGGAGGCTCATGTTGGAGGCTCTCGCTAACATTAAACACGAAATACAAACAAATGGTCGAGAAAGCAGTTCCTGTAAATCGTTAATTTTGTCGATCAGTTGAAGTTGAAGTTCTTCAAAGTTTGAAGCAGGTGATTGTTAAGGTCATGGGAAGAGATTTGACAGTTATGTGTGGAGACTCTTGGACACCTTCTCTCTCTCTCTCTCTCTCTCTCTCTCTCTCTCTCTCTCTCTCTCTCTCTCTCTCTCTCTCTCTCTCTCTCTCTCTCTCTCTCTCTATATATATATATATATATATATATATATATATATATATATATATATATATATATATATATATATATATATATATATATATATGAAATCTTTTTATTCCTTTGTTTCTAGTCAAACTTAACTTAAGATGGAATCTCCTTCAATCTAGTCAAAAGAAGATATCTATAAAATATGTAATTTTCCTGCGTCATGAGGGCTGCCTTGTGGTGCCAGGGCTGCCTCGGGGGCCCCTGTTTACTCAGCAGATGAGTGGATAACTCTCCACCATTATATAAATTGGTACAAATTACAAGCCTCAGGAATGTCGGTACGTTACCCCGGAGAGAATGGCTAACCAACCCGTTCTCTGGCCTTAATTCCTCGCATGTATTACGGAATCAACCAATCCGTTAAAAAAGTGATGTATTAGTAAAGAATTAAAGGTCAACTTTTGTTCCTGATTGATTGATTGATTGATGAAGATTAAGCTACCCAAGAGGTGGCACGGGCATGAATAACCCGTGATTTGTTTCTCCTGCAATATTCCTTATGTTTATAGGTAGGATGTTGAATAGCCGTAGAGGTGTGGTGTTGAGACAGCGATGTGTGACAGTGTCTGTGGAGCCTCCATTCTTGTTGACCAGACCACACACACATACACAAACACACACACACACACATATATATATATATATATATATATATATATATATATATATATATATATATATATATATATATATATATATATATATATATATATATATGTCGTACCTAGTAGCCAGAACGCACTTCTCAGCCAACTATGCAAGGCCCGATTTGCCTAATAAGCCAAGTTTTCCCAAATTAATATATTTTCTCTACTTTTTTCTTATGAAATGATAAAGCTACCCATTTCATTATGTATGAGGTCAATTTTATTTTATTGGAGTTAAAATTAACGTAGATATATGACCGAACCTAACCAACCCTAACCAACCCTACCTAATCTAACCTAACCTATCTCTATAGGTTAGGTTGGGTTAGGTAGCCGAAAAAGTTAGGTTAGGTTAGGTTAGGTAGGTTAGATTGTCGAAAAAACATTAATTCATGAAAACTTGGCTTATTAGGCAAATCGGTCCTTGCATAGTAGGCCTAAAAGTGCGTTCTAGCTACTAGGTACGACATATATATATATATATATATATATATATATATATATATATATATATATATATATATATATATATATATATATATAATATTGTGCCAGATTAAGGGTAATAAAGTAGTTGTATCATCTTGACTGAGAAGTTATTCACTTTCTGATGGTATTTTACTTTCCTTTTCAGGTAAATACAGGCATGAGTGAGGCGGTGGAGGACGGCTTCTGTGGCTGAGGGTGACAGGTAATGTCTTACTGCTGCTGCTGTTGCCCTGCACAAGCTGCTCCTTCTGTGCTGCCTTGTGTCTGCTGCCTCTTCTCTCAACTTGCCACAACATCACAAAAATGATGTACTAAATTGGCCGAGCCTAACCTACCAAGGACCCCACGTATAGGAACACGTAACATCCGGTCTATTTAGACGGTCTATCTTATTTTGACGCTGGGGGATTTTTTACATCAAAATAAAATGTATTGTTTGAGAGTCCGGGTTGGTGTGTGCGTGTGGAGGTGCTTATATATTAGTGACTAAGTGAGTCTTAACTCTTGGTGCCCACCCTATACTAGCCTTATATATGTACTTGCAGCATTGTAATTGAATAATGTGGTTGTTCAAATTCGTTGTCAATTCTGGCCTAAAAGTTGTGGATGGAGGTGGCTTCCATAACTTATTTCTGTTTATCACACTTGTATATCTGTAACATATATAGATATACCAGGGTGTACCGCCGCCCTCATGCAGGGTGGGGCGTCGGGCTGCAGGCAGGGACGGGGTTGGGCGTCTGCTTTTAACAACAATTTACGCAACTATTTACGAAACCGTTGCATCTTTCCTTAATCATGGCGGCTTTCTTGACATATACTGAGCAGTGTATGTGCTGCGAAGCACTAGGAGTTTGTTATAATATAACCTTGGGTTGTGAGGTTGTTATAACCTTGGGTTGTGAGGTTGTTATAATATAACCTTGGGTTGTGAGGTTGTTATAACCTTGGGTTGTGAGGTTGTTATAATATAACCTTGGGTTGTGAGGTTGTTATAATATAACCTTGGGTTATATTATACACCTCGTACAGGAGTTCATGTCTCACGGGAGAGAAGCGAAGGTTGGAATATTGAGTCGTGGAGATGTCTTAATATATATATACGGTCTTGCTCTGCTCGACGTTTGAATTTAAATACAAACATCTACATTTAATTTAATTTAGTTGTATGTATTTAAATTGTAAATACATACAATTTTTTACAATTTTATTTGCATTTTCTAGTGCGGTTGTAGAGGTGGTCTTGCTTGGTGTGGAGAAGTGGGACTCCCACACCCCAGCATCCCCCCCTCCCACACCCCAGCATCCCCCCCTCCCTCCCACACCCCAGCATCCCCCCTCCCTCCCACACCCCAGCATCCCTCCCTCCCTCCCACACCCCAGCATCCCCCCTCCCTCCCACACCCCAGCATCCCTCCCTCCCTCCCTCCCACACCTCAGCATCCCCCCTCCCTCCCACACCCCAGCATCCCTCCCTCCCTCCCACACCCCAGCATCCCTCCCTCCCTCCCACACTCCAGCATCCCTCCCTCCCTCCCACACCCCAGCATCCCTCCCTCCCTCCCACACCCCAGCATCCCTCCCTCCCTCCCACACCCCAGCATCCCCCCCTCCCTCCCACACCCCAGCATCCCCCCCCTCCCTCCCACACCCCAGCATCCCTCCCTCCCTCCCACACCCCAGCATCCCCCCCTCCCTCCCACACCCCAGCATCCCCCCCCCTCCCTCCCACACCCCAGCATCCCCCACTCCCACACCCCAGCATCCCCCCCTCCCTCCCACACCCCAGCATCCCCCCTCCCACCTACACCCCAGCATCCCCCCTCCTCCCACACCCCAGCATCCCCCCCTCCCTCCCACACCTCAACATCCCTCCCTCCCTCCCACACCCCAGAATCCCCCCTCCCTCCCACACCTCAATATCCCCCCCCCCCCACCCACACTGCACCTATCCACAGCTGACAAGCCTCACCTGCGTCATCATCCTAGCAGGGGATAAAACCAGCTAATTAGCTCCATCTTTTGCCAAGTCCGTCATTAGCCGCTGATTGCTGAAACCAATTTTAATTGCCAGTCTGGTTGAGTGACATTCAGCACGATTTCTCTTTTTGGCAATATAATCATTGACATTATCTAAATATTTGTATACTTCCTCTATTACCCAGGCTTTGTTAGAGGCAGTCCATTGTCCCAGTTGCCTGATCATTTAGGAAGATTTGTTAACGAATTTAATTTTTGTTTAATCCTCTTTTAAAGCAACATATGTTGGGTTCACGAGTTTGGTTTCTGTGTCACAGGATACCTAGGCCCTGCTCCCCCACACACTCCCCACCACATACTCCTCCACACACGTATTTCCCACTACATCACCCCTCCCTCCCCCCACACACAACATACCCCACCACATTTTCTGGCAGCCTCGGGTATAATAATGTCTGGCAATTATAACTCTGAGAGAGAGGCCACACCAACTAATGTGTATTGTCTCCTGGGGTAACTATGCTGTGTTTTCCTTGCCCCCCCCCCCCCATCCTCTCTTGGCTGGGCTGGGCTGGTTGGCTTGGCTGGCTTTGGCTTGGCTTGACTGGCTGGCTGGCTTGCCCTAGCTTTTCTGACTGGCTGGGCTAAGCTAACCTGGCTTGCTGTTGGACCTAGCTTTGCTAACTGACTGGGCTTGGCTTAGCTGGTTGGCTGGCTGGTCCTGGCTTTGCTGGGGTAGCTCATTTGTTTGTTGTCTGGCTTGTCTTGGCTTAGCTGGCTGTCTGGTTTACTAGCTTCTGGTCTGGCTCGCTTACTGGCCCCTGGCCGGGCTTGGCGACTTGAACAACTCCAGAAATCCTCTCCAGGTATGATCCTGTCACAGCCCTTCTCAGTACATGCCACCAGTTAACTGCTGTCTCTGAAAATAACACCTAATGCAGATAGACACATATTGTGAGGGGACTCAAACAGTGAGGGAGACATAGACATTGCAGGAACAGTAAGGAGACACAGACAGTGAAAGGACACAGTCAATGAGGGGACAGTGAGGGGACGGTAAGATCAACGTATTAGGGGGACACAGTGAGGGGACACATTGAGGGGGGACACAGTGAGAGGGACACAGAGTGAGGGGGGGACACAGCGTTTATCCACGCTGTGTCCCTGGCATGATAAACAGGAGCAGAAGACTCAGCACACGCACACTGGCGGGAGTTGTATTATATGTGGCCGCGGCGGCATCTCCGAGGGCTTAATTAATGGTTTAATAGCCACCATTAAGACTTAATTGCCACTAGGGACGGCCGCCGCTTGATCTACTAAGGCAGCAAGAAACTCCTGGTGGTTAGCGTTATTGTCAGGTCCAGCGGAGGGCCTGGGGCCAGGACTGTCCACCAGTCACCCTCGTGACCCTGGACTGTCCACCAGTCACCCCCCCGTGACCCTGGACTGTCCACCAGTCACCCCCCCGTGACCCTGGACTGTCCACCAGTCACCCCCCGTGACCCAGGACTGTCCACCAGTCACCCACGTGACCCAGGACTGTCCACCAGTCACCCCCCCGTGACCCAGGACTGTCCACCAGTCACCCCCGTGACCCAGGACTGTCCACCAGTCACCCCCCCGTGACCCAGGACTGTCCACCAGTCACCCACGTGACCCAGGACTGTCCACCAGTCACCCCCCCGTGACCCAGGACTGTCCACCAGTCACCCACGTGACCCAGGACTGTCCATCAGTCACCCACGTGACCCAGGACTGTCCATCAGTCACCCACGTGACCCTGGACTGTCCACCAGTCACCCCCGTGACCCAGGACTGTCCACCAGTCACCCACGTGATCCAGGACTGTCCACCAGTCACCCCCGTGACCCAGGACTGTCCACCAGTCACCCACGTGACCCAGGACTGTCCACCAGTCACCCCCGTGACCCAGGACTGTCCACCAGTCACCCCCGTGACCCAGGACTGTCCATCAGTCACCCACGTGACCCTGGACTGTCCACCAGTCACCCCCGTGACCCAGGACTGTCCACCAGTCACCCACGTGATCCAGGACTGTCCACCAGTCACCCCCGTGACCCAGGACTGTCCACCAGTCACCCACGTGACCCAGGACTGTCCACCAGTCACCCACGTGACCCAGGACTGTCCATCAGTCACCCCCGTGACCCAGGACTGTCCACCATTTTATGCCTCTTCCTGCTCTTCCACATAACCAGGTCACCTTCAGAGAGCCCCTCAGCCTCTCCATCCCCCTCATTGTACAACATACTTCTGCCTCCACTGTGTTCTCCCCTCGTCTGTTATCATAGTTCCTCCCCCCTGATTTCCCCTCTCCCTTAACGCGGTGGTATCGTGTAGAGAAACAACAGGGGAAAGTTCTGCCCCTGGAGACGCCCCTCAGGTAAGATTTATCACCTGCAACTCGCATGAGCTGAGCGGGAATTTTTCAGGTCGGCTGCGAAAAATATTTTGGGAAAAGACGACGGGAAGAGGCAGAAAGGTAGGGAAGAAAGCGGAGGAGGTGCCACAGTGCCAGGCTACACAGCAGGGGGAGGTGCCACAGTGCCAGGCTACACAGCAGGGGGAGGTGCCACAGTGCCAGGCTACACAGCAAGGGGGAGGTGCCACAGTGCCTGGCTACAAAGCAGGGGGAGGTGCCACAGTGCCAGGCTACACAGCAGGGGGAGGTGCCACAGTGCCAGGCTACACAGCAAGGGGGAGGTGCCACAGTGCCAGGCTACACAGCAAGGGGGAGGTGCCACAGTGCCAGGCTACACAGCAGGGGGAGGTGCCACAGTGCCTGGCTACACAGCAGGGGAAGGTGCCATAGTGCCAGGCTACACAGCAGGGGGAGGTGCCACAGTGCCAGGCTACACAGCAGGGGAAGGTGCCACAGTGCCAGGCTACACAGCAGGGGGAGGTGCCATAGTACCAGGCTACACAGCAGGGGGAGGTGCCACAGTGCCTGGCTACACAGTAGGGGAAGGTGCCATAGTGCCAGGCTACACAGCAGGGGGAGGTGCCACAGTGCCTGGCTACACAGCAGGGGAAGGTGCCATAGTGCCAGGCTACACAGCAGGGGAAGGTGCCATAGTGCCAGGCTACACAGCAGGGAGAGGTGCCGCAGTGCCTGGCTACACAGCAGGGAGAGGTGCCACAGTGCCTGGCTACACAGCAGGGAGAGGTGCCACAGTGCCAGGCTACACAGCAGGGGAAGGTGCCATAGTGCCAGGCTACACAGCAGGGGAAGGTGCCATAGTGCCAGGCTACACAGCAGGGAGAGGTGCCACAGTGCCTGGCTACACAGCAGGGAGAGGTGCCACAGTGCCTGGCTACACAGCAGGGAGAGGTGCCACAGTGCCAGGCTACACAGCAGGGGGAGGTGCCACAGTGCCTGGCTACACAGCAGGGAGAGGTGCCACAGTGCCTGCCGTGCCACAGTGCCTGGCTACACAGCAGGGAGAGGTGCCACAGTGCCAGGCTACACACTCGGCACTGCGGGTAAAATAATAGTCGAATTTAGGGATTCCGGTGGGGAATACTGAGCCTCCCAAACAGGGCAATTAGGCCGTCGGCCCGGGAGCCCCTCGTCCGTCTCTCTCATTGCTGTTCACTGTATAAAATATCGTAACCTTGCGCACCCCCCCCCCCCCTTCCCTTCCTTTCCCTTCCCTTCCCTTCCCTTCCCTTCCCTTCCCTTCCCTTCCCTTCCCTTCCCTTCTCTTCCCTTCCCTTCCCTTCCCTTCCCTTCCCTTCCCTTCCCTTCCCTTCCCCTCCCTTCCCTTCTTCTCCACGACTAACCTCTCTTCCATACCCCTCTCTCTCTTCTCTCCCCTCCCTTACTCTCTCTTTTCTCTACCCTTCCCTGCCCTCTCCCTTTTAACCCTCCCGTAACCTCTCCCTCTTTTCCCCTCCCCCTTCCGTCTCTTTTCTCTACTCTCTCTCCTTTTCTAACCTCTCCCTTCCCATCTCTACCCTTCGCTTCTCCGTTCCTTCATATCTCCTTTCTCTTCCTCTTCCTCCCCTCTTCCTCCCCTGTTCCTCCCCTCTTCCTCCCCTCTTCCTCCCCTCTTCCTCCCCTCTTCCTCCCCTGTTCCTCCCCTGTTCCTCCCCTCTTCCTTCCCTCTTCCTCCCCTCTTCCTCCTCTCTTCGCTGGGACCAGCTGCCTCCGGCCCTCTGTTTCACGAGGGGAAAAATACCACAAAATATCCCCTCATTTGCATCTTGCGCAATTACAGTCTTGGTTTAATTCCTGGAAGGTGAACCTTTGGAAGGTGAACCTTTGGAAGGTGAACCTTTGGAAGGTGAACCTTTGGAAGGTGAACCTCTGGAAGGTAAACCACTGGAAGGTGAACCTCTGGAAGGTGAACCTCTGGAAGGTGAACCACTGGAAGGTAAACCTCTGGGAGGTGAACCTCTGGAAGGTGAACCTCTGGAAGGTGAACCTCTGGAAGGTGAACCACTGGAAGGTGAACCTCTGGAAGGTGAACCACTGGAAGGTGAACCTCTGGAAGGTGAACCACTGGAAGGTGAACCTCTGGAAGGTGAACCTCTGGAAGGTGAACCTCTGGGAGGTGAACCTCTGGAAGGTGAACCTCTGGAAGGTGAACCACTGGAAGGTGAACCTCTGGGAGGTGAACCTCTGGAAGGTGAACCTCTGGAAGGTGAACCTCTGGAAGGTGAACCCCTGGAAGGTGAACCTCTGGAAGGTGAACCTCTGGAAGGTGAACCTCTGGAAGGTGAACCTCTGGGAGGTGAACCTCTGGAAGATGAACCTCTGGAAGGTGAACCTCTGGAAGGTGAACCCCTGGAAGGTGAACCTCTGGAAGGTGAACCTCTGGAAAGTGAACCCCTGGAAGGTGAACCTCTGGAAGGTGAACCTCTGGAAGGTGAACCTCTGGAAGGTGAACCCCTGGAAGGTGAACCTCTGGAAGGTGAACCCCTGGAAGGTGAACCTCTGGAAGGTGAACCTCTAGAAGGTAAACCACTGGAAGGTTTACTTCCACACCACCACCACCAACACTCCAGTTACATTCCAGACACCACCTACACATACCCACTTAACATTCCTCCTCCACCTTCTTACATTACTACTCGGAAAACTTACTCAATACCTCATTAGCCTCACGCCTCCAGAAAAAAAAGTATTATGGCATTACGAAGAATACCAGAAGCAGTAATTCTGGCTGTTGACCCGTGACCACTCTGCATGACAAGATGGCCGACATTAGTCTCTTCTACCACACACACAAAAGCCTCCAGAATTGCTAGCCTAATTACTCCAACTTGTGCTCCAGAGGCTCGAGTTGTAGCAACAACAGCAACTGCTACATCAACTACAACAACTACAACAGCGTCAACAGCAACAACACACATGGGAACTGAGGCTTTGGCACAAACCAGGAAATAGAGAAGAACTAAAAATCAGCAGCCAGATTCACGAAGCAGTTACGCAAGCACTTGCGAACCTGTACATCTTTCCTCAATCTTTGACGGCTTTGGTCACATTTATTAAACAGTTTACAAGCATGAAAACTTGCCAATCAACTGTTGTTATTGTTATAAACAGCCTCCTGGTGCTTCGGGGCTCATTAACTGTTTAATAATTGTAAACAAAGCCGCGAAAGATTGAGAAAAGCTGTACAGGTTCGGAAGTGCTGGCGTAACTGCTTCGTGAATCTGGCCCCAGGGGGGTGGGAGGGGCTGTCTCTTCTCCACGTGTCACAATGTAGTCAATACGGGGTATAATGAATAGGGGTTATAATGAGTTATAATGAATAGGGGTTATAATGAGTTATAATGAACAGGGGTTATAATGAGTTATAATGAACAGGGGTTATAATGAGTTATAATGAACAGGGGTTATAATGAGTTATAATGAACAGGTATTATAATGAGTTATAATGAACAGGGGTTATAATGAGTTATAATGAACAGAGGTTACGTATGAGGCAGCATTATACTACCCCCGCCTTGCGAGGGTGTACAGATATAGGCTTATCAGTGAAGAATGATATATTTATACATATTCCAACTTGCACACAAAAGCAACACTCACAATTATGTAAACTATGTATATAAAAAAGTATAATGATTTTCTTTAAGTAATGAGAATTAATATAAAAAAAAATTATAACAGAAAAATCAGGTGGAATTATAGATAAATTATCAATATTTTTCAATAAGTTGCGGGCAGCCTGCTCTCCGACAATGAAGGTCCCCGTAGTAACGCGGTGGTTGATCTAACAAATATGGATGTGATCGTCCAGTAAAAATACTTTTTTTTTCATAATTAAGTTTGGACAAACCGGAAACGTTTTTATATCTATGTTGCTAATGAAAACCCTAACCTAACCTGACCACCCTAAAATATATATATATATATATATATATATATATATATATATATATATATATATATATGTGTGTGTGTGTATGTGTGTGTGTGTGTGTGTGTGTGTGTGTGTGTGTGTGTGTGTGTGTGTGTGTGTGTGTGTGTGTGTGTGTGTGTGTGCTATAGAAGACCTGGGAATACTTTAATTTAGTTTTTAAGCTTTTTTTCTGGACTCTATAAAAAAAAATTTATAGTGTGTGTGTGTTGGGGGGGGGGAGGTTAGCATAATGTGATGCTTTGTGGGTAAACATCTTGTTTACTTCAAGGGGTCAAGGGGTGGGACCCCTTGAGTGTGTTGGTGAGATTTTTGAGTGTATCTATCCGCGTGTATCTATCCGGACACTCACTACTAGCATTAAGGCACATTCCTGCGTTGCTTTCCTAAGTGTACACTGCAATGTGAAAATCCACTATTCCTTTCCCAGACTGTTACATCCAGGTGGGGGCAGCTTACCGTCACTCTCGTCTCATAAGTGAAGCGTAGCACGGAACTTGGCTCAGATGCATCCTTAAGCGGCGGCAAGCGCTCACACACCTGGTGGAATATATCATCAACATACCTACAGTAGACGGCCAGTTTTAGCCCCCATGTCAAAAAGGACTTTTTTGTTCAACAGTACTCATGTAAATGTTAGCAAGTAGAACACCAAGGGGGAAGCCTATGGCGACGCCGTCTGCTGGTTTATGGATGCGGGCGTCAGGGCTCGGGCTGGGCACGTCTTTGCTACGTTCCTCCAGTAGCTTGCTGAGTGGATCTTGAAGAACGTCAGACGGGTACAAACTGGATCCTGAGAAACTCTCTCCAGGGAGCCGGTCGGCCGAGCGGACAGCACGCTGTACTTGTGATCCTGTGGTCCTGTGTTCGATCCCAGGCGCCGGCGAGAAACAATGGGCAGAGTTTCTTTCACCCTATGCCCCTGTTACCTAGCAGTAAAATAGGTACCTGGGTGTTAGTCAGCTGTCATGGGCTGCTTCCTGGGGGTGGAGGCCTGGTCGAGGACCGGGCCGCGGGGACACTAAAAAGCCCCGAAATCATCTCAAGATAGCATCACTCCAATTTCAAAGACACATTTATATATTTGATTGCACTATATAATAATGTTTTATTCCAGTATAAATTAATGTTATATGTTTTTGTGTATAATTAGGCTTACCTTGAAAGTTAGGGGTTTGGATTCTGTTAGTAATTATATATTTGTATTTTCAATGTTTGTGGAAACTATTTAGAGAGGTACAATTTACATTTAAAAGTAATTATTTGTGAGTCACTCAGATTACATTAACAGAGGCCAGATGCTGGTTTAACCAGCTGCCAAACCCCTCTTTATGGATGAAAACCATTTTACTCACAGACTCACAACAAATAACGTTCGAACTTTTCTCGAACAGTTCTTCACTCTCAGTGTTCGAATCACACTCACTAAATGCTTCACCCACGTACTGCAAGTGCTAATATTTGCCAACAGACCCAAAACAACTAACGGAACATGTCGTAGGGCTAACCTTAAACAAAATGTTAGTATACGTTATTATGAATACATATTTCAGAAATGTTGTATTTTGTTTATATAGTATGTTAATCTTTACGGATACGTCACTGGGCAACCCGTCCTCGACTCAAGTCCATTACATCCAGCGGTCGACCCCACAGACGCATTCATAAATTTTAACATGCTGTTCATTCAAAACTCGAATTTTCTCAAGTATAAATTAATATTATAATATATTAGCATATTGTGTATATATAGGCATAGGTTAGGTTAGGTTAGGTGTTTAGGTTCTGTTGGCGATTATTTGTATTTGTAGTACGTGGGTGAAGCATTTATAGCATTGTGATTCGAACAAAATTCGTCAGTGAAGCACTTGTTCCGGAAGTGTTCGAACGTCAGCAGTTGTGAGTCGTGTGTAAACCGTTTTTAATTCATAAACAGGGGGTTTAGCAGGTGGATGGAATCACTTTTGGATCTTTGTTTGGAGGACGGGCTGCACTGAGGGTCGCTGTAGTTCGGACACTCTTAAGCCTCAGGATGAACTGTTTGAGTCTTATGTCAGCCCGTCCTGTAAACAAAGGCCAAAGTTCATTCCATGCACTCGCCAACCCCCCTCCCCCTTCCTGTTTATGAATGAAAAACGGTTTACACACGCCTTACAACTGATGACGTTCGAACACTTCCGGAACAAGTGTCTCACTGACGAATTTTGTTCGAATCACAACGCTATAAATGCTTCACCCACGTACTACAAATACAAATAATCGCCAACAGAACCTAAACACTTAACCTAACCTATGCCTGTATATGCACAATATGCTAATATATTATAATAATAATTTATATTTGGGAAAATTCACGTTTTCAATGAACAGCATGTTAAAATTATTGAATGTATCTTTGGGGTCGACCGCTGGGTGGAATGGACTTGTTCTGAAGACGGGTTGCATGTGTATAATATTTTTCATGCATAAACTGTAGGGAGGTAAGGGCCGCTTCAGGACTAACAGGCACTTGATAGCGTCTTTGAGATTTATTATTCATAAGAACAGGGCACAACCGCTACTTGGAATAGAATGTTCATCATTAGCTTAATGTCCAGCTACTGATTAAGGCTATAGGTATGTCTGGCCTACACTTGAAACAGCCAAACTATCCCATCTAATATCTTACCCGGTAATTTGTACCAATAACTAACCAGTCGATTTACAAACCAGTATTTACCCTGGTCTTTCGTGAATCTAAAGTTATCTAATTTATATAAGTTTCATGTTATATTTTGTGTTGATATATTTAGCACCTTATTAATATCCCCTTTGTGATGTATCAAGGGGGGGATTTGAGTCTATCAAACAATAGTTGAAATGGCTTCCCACTGTCGTGGGACAGGGATAGGTTAGGTTAGGTTAGGTTAATCCAGGTCCCCCACCTAGCCTTCACAACGATCTAGCCGACAAGTTACCATACTCTCCAGCACCTTTTTACTGATAGGTGGTGGATAGATTCATCGGGTTGAAGGACACAATAACCTAAACCCAGGAAACAGACCTAAAACAATGATCAAGCCAGAGGGGTTATTCAGTAAATTCAATTTTAATAATAAAAGGATAGACTGAGAGATAAAATAAACAGATAACATACAAACATTCAGTGGGAAAATGTTCCAGGTAATAAAAATCCTACACAAGGAATAGAAAACGGACTTCGGAAGCATATAAAGTCAGTCTGAAACATGTACCTTTGAGGAAGGCCAGAAAGAGGTCCAAAGTAGAGGCAAGACATAGACGCCACTTCAAAAGAAGGAAAATAATAGCGGAAATGCTTAAGCAGACACGACTTTTCATGCAAAGAATGAATAATTTAAACAGGGAGACTGAAGAAATCGAGCAGAGACTGAAGCATTCATGTCAGAATGAAGAAAGGCAACTAGAACAGAAAGCAAGTCAAGAAATAAAGAAACTTCAAAATATTTCTTCACGTATGCTAAATCAAAAGCAAAAACTACTGCCAATATTGGACGTATTCGTACTAGTGAAGGTTCATACACTGAGGATGACAAAGAAATTAGTGAAATCCTATAAAAGCAGTATGAGGACATGTTTAGCACTCCGATACTCAGCATGAAAGTGGAAGATCCGCACAACTTCTTTATGCGTGATATCCAAACCCCTGTAAATATAACTGATATCAACACGAGTGAGGCAGATTTTGAAAGAGAAATTTACAACATGCCCATGC